TGAAATCAAACCCAATCTAAACTAAGTCCAATAGGAAATAAAAACAAAACTACAAACTAGCCCAAAATTAAACTCGTGTTAGGTTAAGGAATATATATATATATATATAGTTAAAACAAAAAGTTGTTAATTTGTTTAGAAAAAATAAAATAAATTGATTTATCAAAAAAAATTCGGTTCGTATTCAGTTCTTCGGTTCTAAGTCTAGAACCGAGAACCGAACCAAAATTTTTCGGTTCTTCGGTTCTCTGTTCTTCGAGTTTTTAAGTTAAGAAAACCCGCTCGGTTCGGTTCGGTTTCGGTTCTGTTCAGTTCGGTTCGGACATTTTGCCCAGCCCTAGTGCGTAATAAAATAATCACGGACCCCCTCAGGGACTGTCATTCGGACTGTCCATCTCGAATGTACTACGAGAGGTAATTGGAGTTTTGTTCTCAAATTTATATGTAATATTCTCTTGCTATTTGGCAAGGGAAAAAAAAAAAAGAAAGTTCCTACATTTTTGCTCTTTGTAAATTTTTGTTACTCCATATTTATTTCATCCTTAGCAGTTTTCCAAAAAGACATGAAATGTGATTAGATAGTAATATCAAGTTCTACGTTTTTTAGTATAACCAGATCTAGGATAAAAATGCATGAAGAGTGAAACCTGTCTAGAAGATCTTTTTAGAGCAATCATTATTATTACGAAAACAAATACAATAATATTGTTGCGTCCTTGATAGACGTCACATCGAGATGTCGAGCTATATGTTCTGCTAAGATCCAATCTTATGGAATGAAATATATAGCACCGCATTATCATTACATATTATAGTGAGCTCGATCATTTGGGGGTTAGAACTTCAAAGATCGAGCTTGTAGAACAACTAATGTTAACATCCTAACACAACACCACCCTCTCCTTCTAAACTTTGTGTTCGAGTCGGAGATAAACTTCGTGTTCAAGTCGGAGAGCAAAAGAGTTGGCCCTCAAAGTTTTCATACCATGTCGCAACTAATTGAAGTGATCGAGTGATATCGAACCTTTAAACCCCTTTCATTTCCTCCAAAAGAAATTCAGAATCCTCACAATTCTGTCTAAAAAATGTACTTGGAACTCAGATACACCACCTCACTAGGTTAAGCATTAGACAATGTTCAACTATTGAACACTTCACCTCTCCAACAGTTAACTAACATTAATTTACGATTCAGAATTCCTTGAAGTAGGTCAAAAAAGTGCTATAACTTCAACAAACACAAAGCAGTTGTAATTTATAGGGTCGCTATTATCATTCAGGAGATGGTTTCGATAATAATCCGGCAGTCAACAACCAAAAACTACTGTATCTCCCACATTAAGTTATGACAAATGCACAATATTAAATGAACACATCATTCAACTGCCAATTTGGAACATTATGTTATTTCAGGGCAAGTATCAGATAATCGAATACAGGCGCTATTTCTTCACATCCATGGCCATTATCTCAGTTCTTCCTTCCTTCACACAAGATAATGTGGTATCCATGTCTGAAGTTACAGAACAAAATGAAATCAGTAAATATCAGAGCACAGTGAGTGTTAAGAGATAAATCTGAGAAGTGAGTAATTACGAGAAAGAAATTCAGGATTTGAGAAACTTACGTTGACTTAAATGGTGCAGTGGTAGCTCCAACAACTGTGTTAAACGCAACCTCCTGAAATGGACCAGCCATCTTGCCGCGGGGAAACCATCCCAAGTCCCCACCTTTCTTTCCAGATGGACATTCTGAATATTCTGCAGCTAGCTGAAGAACAATGGAAAAAGAAACAGATCAACAACTTACAACGAGGCTTAGTGCTTGTTTGGTAGTGCTTTCAAGTGTTTATAGGCTGCTAAAAAGTGGATAGTAAATTGTGGATCCTACAAATGTATGGATAAAATTATGTTTCCCAAGCTTAAATTATAATTTAAGCTTTGACAAACATGCTCTAAGTTTACCTTTTGCTAAGCTAAGAAGCACAGACACCTACACACGATTTTTCAAAAAGTAAGATACGGACACATTGGATAGACGCCGGTTTAAATTCTTCAAATTATACATGCATATATAATTAATTAAAATGTTTTATAAATAAAAATTTCTATGAATTATGTTCCAATTTTCACAATATGCGCCTTTTTGTTCCTTGAATCGTCCAAGACACATTCCCCACGTATTAATAAGAACAATATTAGACATGCCACATGGTATGTTCGATGCATGCTGGGGGTTTTTGGAAACTGTCCCTAAGTATTGAATATTTAAGAAGTATATAATGAATAAGACAAATCAAATGGCGTGTCAAATACAAGTTCCGAAGTGTTTTAAGGAGTGTCCGCGTCTGATACATGTTGGACTTGGACAGAGCACCCCAGCAAAAGTGTCCATCCTTCACAGTTGGTGAGCGTGTCCCAAATGTATCGGATAGATAACTTTTTCATCTATTATCAAGAAAGGAGACAGTACTTTGTTCCTTAACATATGGCTGCCCCATAATTAAGCAAGCCATGTCTTGTGCCTAGAACAATATGAAGTAAAAATTTATGGTCATCTAATTGAATATTCCTACCTACCAAATACAAAAACGATGAACTATACTTACTTTGGCAAACTCTGCTGGCGGAACCTTGTCTCCATTACTCAGCCAGCCATCTTGTAGCTTCTTATATGCTTCATTGATTTTTCCTTGCTTCTCACACAAGATGTGCCTAGCTGGTAAAAGTTTAAAATGGGTGGAAAAAAATTATAACACGCAATAAATTTGCAAATGGTGGCAACGTCATACTGCTATAGACTTATAAATTGACGTATCAATTTTGTAAAAGGGAGCAAGGAGGAAGAAACCTTTGACGTAGGTGCAGGTTCCAAGGCCATCACCCTTCGCTCCTTTGCCTTTGTCCTTTGATGCACCGGCATCACTTCCACCGGCTTTTCCCTTACCCTTCCCTCCTGCATCCTTGGATTTCGAGCCCTTTCCCATAACTGTCGAACAGAATTATAAGCATGTTTTCTAAGCTTAATAAAATGTAAATTTGCTTCCTTTTTTTCACAGTAAGTAAAGACTTATTGGAGATAAGAAAAAAAGAGAGTAAGATTTTACAGTAAATTAGAAAAATAGTAACTTTTATAAAGCTTCAAACATGTATGGCAGAAAACAAAATTACTTAAAAGTTTTAAGCTTAGCGAGACATCTCTATGTAATAATCAAATAGATGAACAGGATGAAGATTTGATAGAATTAAACTCGCACCACTAGAAATTAATGGGCTTGTTTTCTTGATATTTTCCTATCCAATACAGTCGATCCAGTCCCCGAGCATTCCTTGACTTTCTAAGAAGATTCTTGCCTGAGTTGTAGTAATTAACGCGAAAGGCCAACTAACTAGACTATCTAAATGATAAATCCCACGAATGAAAAGATTGAATTACAGTCGCAAAAGAACCAAATACAAAGTCGGATGAAAACAAAAACTTCAGCTAGAGAACAACGATAAAACTTAATCAGTGCATTAAGGCCAGAAACCAAACTAAGAAACGCAGAGAACACAACCCATTAACAAAAAGAAAACCAATTTCCCCTTCAGGAAAATATTTAACAATTACACTCTCATAGGCCCAAACAATTTACTCAATTCTCTGAAGATCTTCCTATTCCAAACACACAATCAACACTCACGGTAAATAAAATTCTCTCCACGCTACATCCTGTTTTTCACTATCAATTGACTGCAAATATGTAACACAAAAAGTGAGATAAGTGATTCAAATACTGCAATATTAATACGTATTCAGATATACCCAGATGGTGAAAACGACTGCAAGAACTGGTTTGAAGAAATTTACCTTCGAATTTGATAATTTAGGGAAATTTGTACGATGAAATCGAACACTGAAGTCTGAGGCACGGTTGCCAGGGGTATCCGTCTATGCTGTAGTTTTACGCTGATGGACTTATGACTAAAATTACAAGTTTATCCCTGATGACTATTTTTTTTTCTTTTTTCCACAAATTTTTTTCCTATTATTATTATCCTGTTTTTGTTAAATATAGAGATTGTTTTCAATATTTTTTTTTTCTAACATAAAAGTGTGTTTTTATTTTCTCTTATCACATTTGAATATGAAATTCCGAAGTGTACCTACACACACAAGAAATTACGAAGTTTACTTAGCAAGAACACGATCCACATTATTGATTTCACGTTGAATGTACTTACAACATAATACCAATAGAGAAAAGAAAAATAGATCTGATGTTCGTAAAAATGTTTTGTTAAGACTTGAAACCTAGTTCTACTCGATGACTCCAATAGGATAATTGAACTCGATAATAAACTACTGGTCACATCAAATGTACTTACAATTTAAAATCGATAAAAAAAGGAAAAAAATACTGACATTCGTAAAAATGTTCTGTTAAGACTTGAAATCTAGTTATACTCGATGACTCTAATAGGACAATTGGACTCGTTAATAAACTACTACTGGTCACAAGAAAATCAACTTTATGTAGCCAACAATCAACACTTCAACAACACTATACACGATATTAGACAAAATCTCGAACATTTTTCTCTTATTTTTATCCAATCGAACATACCAAATATAATATGCATTTTTAATTTCCATTGCATCCATTAGTATCCACCTTTCTTTCTGCAATCATTGTTGTTTTTACCAACCTATTATAGAGTTCAATTCTGACCAAGAAATGGAGTTATCCAAGAAATTCAAGGCAGCTGCTAATAATTAGTAATCTCCAAATCTGCTTGTAAACCAGACTTAGAAAATGAAATTCGACATGGAAATTGGTTACAAAAATCCACGACTATCATCTACTTCATGAGAAGCATTGATACATGTTAGTAACCAAGAATGTCCTTGGTCAACGATTTAACCTTAGGTGACTTCTTGAAGCTCTCGATTCAATACTTCCTCTTGATCTTTCTCTACAAGATACCCCGAGAAGGCATGTCCTTCCTTTTATCCCAGATTCAAAGCAAGGAATATTCTTTGTTACGCTGCTATTCAGAATCTGAATCTGAGAACCGTATTTGTTGAGCATCTTTTGGTTCTTCGTCAGTGATGGAAGGTGGAATGAGCTTGTTTGAGTCATTTTTTCGACGATTCCTTCGCTGTGGTCTATTCTCATCCTGCAGTGAAGGCACAATCTTGTTAATGACAATTTAACATTAAACTGGCCAACAATATCAGAAGGTGAAATTCAAGGAGAGGAGTTAATGAATCACAATTCGCAGAAGCCAATAACCAAACTAACAAACATGAGCCAGCAAACAGATAAGTCATGGTTGCAAAATTTTAATTTGAAGCAATCTTTGTCGATTAAGAATACATTCTACTTTATGAAAATTACTGCATCATCCAAAACTACGGAGAAGACAAGGTAGTGAAATTTGAAGCCTAATTATTAGAGGCTATATAGCCATAGATTTTTACCATAAACCGTGTATTGGCAATAACTGGAATAGTTGCATGTGATTAAAGCATTTGGCCATCACATTCACATATCCTAAAGCTAGGAACCATGTTGATTGGACAAGGGTGTGGGTGCTTGATTCGAGAAAATATCTAAAAGCGGTTCTTTTTTGCTAAAATCTAGGATATAGGGATACGGCTAAAGAGGATCCAAACTTTAGACACGGGTACGTGGATACATCATATAAATTAAAAATTACTTCAGGAATTTATAACTAGAAACATGAAAGACTGATTAAAAATCATTTTAAATACAATAACAAAAACAATATAAAGGATCCCCTTTTGATTTAATGATCCGAGAAGGATCCTATACCCTTATCATTGTCTCGTGTGTCCAACCCAGGCCCTTCCACTAAAATGAAGACTTAGAGCAACATAAGCTAGGAATAACGTAACTCAAGTGCTTCAACAATCTTATGATAGATATTTAAAAATCTCAAACAATGGAACCACTATTACATTAATAATCTGAAAAGACAGACAAAATTTGCAAGAGCCATCATCTTCAAATGTTCCAGAATTAATATTTCAAGTATCAAGTTCTATAGAAAAATTCCTTCTTAGTTATTAGAGAAGAAATCTCTGATGTGTGTATTTTGAAGTGTGTCCATGTTCTACGTATATATAGTAGCCCATATCATATAATTCACATTTTGGATCATCTGGTTCAGGTTTGATATGAATTATTCCTAAGTGTGTTCTAAAATTGTTACAAAAGCAATTAAGTCGATGACTCCTAATAGCATTTATTTGATTTGCACGCGAATGATTGTAGAAGTAAAATAGAAATAACTTGTCCACTAGCACTCACCTTTACCCTTGGTTGACTGGATTCATCCTGGTTGCTAGGTTGAGTTGATTGACTTCTATTTAGCTTTAGCCAAATAAAACCGAATGACATCAATGCTGCCAAAAGCAAAGACGGTCCGATTCTAGGATCACTGAGCCAATCAGATATTTGGAGTATGAGGCCACTGGTCCATTGTCTCATGCTTTTTCCTGAAGAGAGGATCTTCTCTGAAGGTTGGGACCAAAAGTAATCCGCCTCCTCTGGAAATAGCTCAGGAACTTTAGTTTTCTGCAAAAAATGGTATAAATAGAAGACCAAATAATCAGCTGAGCCTATTCACTGGGCAACTAGCACGTGTTATGGAGTAAATACCAGAGTCAGATAAGAGCCAGAAAATAACTTATAAAAAATTAATATACACAGGCTTTTGGGGTGAGAAAATGAGCATAATGACCTCTTAATGCTAATACAAAAGCACATGAATACAAATTGCTTGAATAGCTGATTTTATACTGTCACAGTATGAACAAAATGAAACCAGTTAGGTAAACCAAGAAGTAACATGAACAGAATCTCCTGCCACCTAAAAAAGGAGTTGCGGGAGATTAATAAAACCCATGGCACCCAGCACAGTCCAGCTGTGTGCAGCCTAAATCCGCTGGATAAAAAATAACATGGAAATGCTAAGACGCGCAAACACCTCAAAAACAGAACATGCAATGCCATGCATATATAGAAAGAGATAGACAAATCACAAAGAGATAATAGAGAACAATAAAAATAAATAACAAGAGATAGAAAAGCTTATTTCGTTACCAACTTACAAAAGGAGGGAGCTCCCTGGAGTCGCCATCTTCAATTGTTTTAGACATCCATCTTATGATCTGCCATCCAAATCAATCAATACTTCAGATAAGAAACATTGAGTCTAGCTATGTTAAAGCTTTCGAGTATGTTCAAAGCTGCCGCATGACGGGTTGCGTTGCCTCATCTAATTCTATACATGCCCCAATAAGAAAAATGTTTCCTCACAATATACTGTAAAATGTATTAACACAACTCATGAATGAGGGTTCAGAAAAATTTCAGTAGAGTGCACATGTTTATATGTAGAATTATATTAACTAACTAGTAAATGAACCTAGGAATCAGCTGATAAAATTCAAGTTATTAGCCCTTGCTTGAGCACCATTTTTCACAAAAATGGGTTTTGTAATAGTCATTTTTTGGAAAATGTGGTTAAAAAGTAGGAAGAAGTTTGGGTTTACGTGCAAATTATTTTAATGATAGAATTTGTGGTCGAAAATGAATGAGAAAAAAATGAGTTTTTAGATAATGGATTCAAACAGGAGCTTATTAATCTCAAACGTAGAAGAATGAAGATCCACTCTAATTTGGTAGGCATTCTAACCTCTGAAATTTCACTTGAGCCATTGTACTTGGCTACAAGTGTGGATGCCGGATCAGCATCGACATTATGCCATGCTTGAAATAGTGGTTTCGTCGGTTTCGTAGCTTTCTTTGGTTCTTCAGTAACATTCCTCTCATAGCGCACAATAAACAACTGCGCCGCATCAGTTATACCCCTCCTAGGTCCGCATGTTTCATAGCTAGTTTCTGAATGGATATGGAAGAAGCAATAGCTCTGCGCAAAAGGAGATATTCAGTCTTCAAAATCACTTCATTTTTAATTTTTCATTCAAAATATTGTCACGTGCTTTTGCAAGAGGGAATAACGCAAAACACAGAATACTGTTGCTGCAGGGGAGAATTTGCCATAACTACAGATAACTTTGGTGCAAACAATACGAAGCCGCAAAACTTGTATCGCGTGGAATCTTCTATATGCATTGAAGTACCTATGTCCGACACTTGATGCTTGGACAACAGTTTCAGATAATTGATGTTTTTGCACGCTTGTCAAAAAACATAAGACGTCATTGACTGATAGACCACAAAATAAATTGATGATATTGATATGTTGCCTAATTCACACATCTGAGAAATATACCTATGCCTATAGATCATAGTACCCAGGTCCAAATAAAATAGCTATGGAAAAAACATCTCCTCTCACTTGCATTATAAAATTTAACGAGTATTCAAGAGTTCCAGAAATTTAGTTTATATATTTAATATAAACATACGGAAGCAAGATTGCAGATGAATACTTCTCTATAATTGCTAATTATATAGTGAATACATTATGACCATGTTCACAGCATAGCAGAAAAAATTCTTGATGCTGACAGTCTTGTGCCAAGCAAATAACTGTTCTCAAAAGTTAATAGAAAGCAACTTAATTATCCTCTGAAAAAGTATTCTTATTAAGGGAATGAAAATTATCCCAGATCAACAAACTTGGACATCAAAATGGAAATGGGAGAAAAGAAGCTCACCTTCTGTGCCTCCCCATCTAGCCAGGCAAGCGTCAGTCGTTTTTGTTTCAGTGCTAACGCTGCTGGAGCTGAAATTGGCTCTAGATCAACTGCATCTAGCTCTCCGTCATTTGAAAGTTTTTCTTGGATGCTGCGCATGGTCTTCAACCACATATAATTTTCACCACTTGCCAGGTTGGTAAAATAATAGAATTTTGCACAAACAAACAATTATTATAGACTGGAGATAAATATACAGTTAATGTTCATTGCAATTGTTGGAGAAGTATTACTTGCTACTCAATGAATTCTCATGCCAGTAGCTTCTTCCCAGTTATTCTTCACTTCACAATTTTTTCAATCCATAACTTATATTAAGACGTTGGTTTGGCAAGCTTTAAAAATGTAAAATTTAATTTCAAGTAGCATTTTATTTCAAATTGGTTGGATAACTTACTTTTTTTACTAACAAGTAAACAAGATTACTTTTATTAAAACAACTCTTAACTTACCGTCAAACTAAGTAAACCTTTTAAGCTTAGCCAATCATGCTATAACTCTACAGTTTTTACCATTGTTTTCACTTTGGCTCATGCGTGTGTCTTTAGTGCAACAGAAAGTACGATTTAAAAGCAGTCATGAGCATAAAACCACAAACAATTCTAATGACCATATAAAATTGACTAAAAACGAGAAGAGATCAAAAGAACTCACTTCACGCATTTTATTGAGTTCCTGGCTCTGTCTTCCAGCAACAATGGCACAATACCAAATCTTGGTATCACTGCCGGCACGTGAATAACCTCGAGAACTACAGCCCAACTCTACTGAAGTCACATTCCTTAACTGGGGTAGCACTGAAAGCATATTATACAAAATCAAACAAGATATCAATTCCACATGTTACTCTTCAAAAGGAAAAACAACAGTAACCATGTAACTCTGGACAGCTAAAAAGTAAAAAGAGCAATATAACCGTACTTTTTGAAATGTGGTCAGCAAATAGAGAGAATCACAACAATCTCTAAGCCATAAATGTCAAATACTATTGCAGGAGAACAGTCCAAAAACAAAGTTGATAGTAGGAGATCAGTTTAATTTTAATAACAATTGGAACCATAATATGTAGCTTGATGGGACACGATTGTACTTTGGCCTTCAAGTATACAAATTAAACAGCAAAAGACAAAAACATACCATGAAGTTTATTATTCTCCATTAAATCTATAAACAATGAACTGTTGACTGGACCTGCAAATAATCACATTTCATAGCTAGCTATCAGAAATGAGACTTCAATCATTTTATATAGTAGAAGAAAAATGAGGCAAAGAAGAAAGGGGCAAATACCTTGATAAACAACAGGTTTAACTCCAGGATCTTTCAGGAATACTACCGCTGGAGCAGATTCCACACCGAAACTGTTATAAATGGAAAGGATCTATGAAATGCTGATAAAGTTTTGAGAAGTAAAACAAAGCAGTGAGCTTACATTTTATATTGAGAAATCAAATGAGGATTACACCAGGGAAAAAAATAACAACAACTATGATGAATTTGAGCCTTCTAATTATTTACCTCTTCAAATCCGTGGAAGGCTCTGAAACCTGACACACATGATTCTCAGACTTAATAATAGAATGGTATCCAGCTTACTTTTTTCCTAAACTTAGTTATCTTTCTTTTTCAATTTTAATGCGGAAGCAAGTTATTTTTTTATTTTTTATTTTTTTTCCTTCATAGCTGGACGGTTTTTCCATTTTGGTATGTTAGCAGCCAGCATGAAACTCTGTTACAAGATAGAAATCAATGTACACCTTTTATTGCAGCAACCCTTAACCGTATGGAATGGCAAAATCGATTCATGCTACTGACTACAATTCATAGGGAATATGGTTTTGTTTGTTGTTGTAGGTGGAGCAAGTTCCAGAACCAGACAATTAGTTATTGAGATATATATAGCACATGAAGGCTGGAGAAATAAAGATCTCAAACAGCCAACTCACATATGATTTTGACTAGAATTTGCGAACATGCATGTATAATTCCCCCGGATGCTAAGTCAGTTTAACTCATAATATATGGAATCTCAAAAACAGTACGACTGCAATGAAATTCAAGAGGAAGACATAACATGTTATGAAATAAATTCGATCAACTAATTGCCTAAGAAACACGTCGCATTATTTCTACCATGCTAAGAATAAGCTGTCTATGTTATTAGCATACTTAAATTTCCATCAACATGAATTACAAAAATAAGAATTTTTAATATTTAAATGTGTGTTTTGTTGATTGGAAATTTACGACGTGTTCGGTAGAGATTAAAATAAAAAAACTAGCCTTTATTGTTGACTTTTATTAGACGAGCGGGATCCAATAACGGCTATATTTTCAATTTTAGTTGGATTTTAATCTCTACCGAACACGCCCTTAGCCCCCTCTTTCTCTTTGTTTTCACTAAAGTACTGGCCTTGTGGTAGTTTTATTGAGGAAAAAAATGACAGAACTAAATAGCATACAGGGAAATAAGCTACCCAATCTACACACAGAAAAAGAAATAAAGAAGGTAGTCCACATACATATTCCACCAAAAAGAAGAGTCCTCTTCTTTCCATAAAGCAAATGCAAAAGTGGCATATGCCCAATAGTTTTTAGCAGCCTGACGAATAAATGGAGTAGCACGTTCTCCAGTTGTCGAGAAGAAAATGACTCTGACCTACAGACAGTAATTGCAAGAGCCATTCATTATTCAAAAATTGGTGAAAGAAACAAAGTCTAAGTAATCCATTGAAGGGCTCAAATGACAGAGCACGTATAACATCATTACATGATGAATAATCGATAAAAATAATGAATGGCATGAATAAAATTATTACAAAGATGAAATTAACACACATGAAAAATATATTAAATTGGAGAAGCAAAGAGACGGCCTTAGTTTTCAAGTACACAAGGTTAAATTGGAAGTTTGTAAATCTTCAAACGAGTTTTGCAAGTACAATAATTGCCGAACGCTAATCGCTGCAATTCCATGGAAGTTGCAATTCACTTCCTCTGAAACCAAATCAACATTATTGAGTGGTAGTTGTGCTCCGACCGACAACAGAAAAGATCTCGATCAATGTATGAGAAGTAAGGTGATAACTAACAGGCATTTTTAAAAGGACAAAAAAAAAGTCGCCTTTCAAGCATAAACCATCAACATCAAATTGCCGCAAGATGAGGGAATATTGGAAATTTCATTGCAGCAATGATCAAAACGAGTTAATTTGATCCCCCATTTCTGTCTCAACAAATGAGAAATTAAAAAATAGTTAAATCAATACAATAAAGATAGAGCAGTCTCTGTTATAAGACAAACCAAAAATGTACCTTATGAGGTTTACTTTTAGCCAGAAAATTATGCACCTGAAAAGAATTAAACTTTCACATCAATGACAACAGTCGTAATAATTAAACCAAACGATAGATATCATAATCATCTTGCATATAAAATTAAACAGAAGAGTTTCCAAAACATCTTGCAAGGATATCTATACTAGCAAAAGAATACAATATGAATGCCAAAAAAAACATTGATAACTGCAAATTTCGTACAAATACATGAACAAATCGAAGTTTATGTTAAAAAAAGTCAAGATCCGGAACTACCAGATTAGAAAAGTTAATTTCACTAGTATAATAAGAATGCAATAATTACCATCGACTCCTTCGAGTAATAAAGAATTCGGGGCAGGTTTAGGATGCCTGTTGCCAACCAATCAGTAATTGTATCCACAGAAAGCTCACCATTGTACCTAGTGAAAAAAGTAATTATAATTTTCTCAATCCTAAGACATTAATTATTTTTCTCAATCCTAGTATTGGGTCACTAAACTGTCAGAAAGAAAGTGTAAAACATGTGAGGAATTACAATAGAAAACTTGAAAAAATGGAAGGGACAAAAAGAAATTCTGAAACTCGATAAGCTAGCATTACAAATTTATTCGAAGAGGGAATTTACCTCTGAAGACAACTGGAACTTTTACACCCAGGGGGGAAAGATACGAGGGCTGGAAGTCCTAAAAAATCTCATTGGAAGGAAACATGATCATCAATAAATAAGGACAAAAATGGAGATTTATAGATAGCTGCAACTGGTTTATGCAACAATGATCATACATGATGCAATACATTACCCATATTACTGGAATGACTTTTATATAGGACATAAATCAGCAACAATATAAATGATTCCGTAAAGTCAAGAACGGGTATATTTACAACTAAAGTCCTGTTCAAGTATAGAGATCCAACACCCACATAATTCTTCAATTGCTTGTACATCATACAAACTTTCCTTCCTCTTTTAACTTAAAATAACACTATCTTTTTGTTTGAAAATGCTACATCTTTTATTCAAGGTGAACGCTAGATCATTTAATTTAAAAGAACACCGTAAATTGACCGCCCATGCTATTCAAAGTCATGCATTATTCTTCTTCTAATGCAATAACTCCCCAAACAAGCTCCACGTTTTGAAACCATAATGCAATGATCAATCATCCACCTCTTTGATCACCAACACGTGCTTTTTGTTTCCAATAGGTGAATCTCATGTCAGCTTAGATCACTCACAAACAGATCCAGGTATAAAGGCCATCCATGCATGAGCACAACCTACAAGAAGCTGATCATAATCTAGCAGGTAAAATAGCCAAACCATCTCCTTGACCACAAGATCCATTTATGAAAGAAAATCCGTAGCCCATGATGCACTTGGAGAAATTACTAATCAATAGAAATAAACAAAAATTTCTAAGTCAAATAATAATCCTAAGATTTATTGATAGTCAAGTGTTTGCAAAAGAGTAAAATCATGATTTTTTTAATCATGAAAACGCGTTACCATTCCTTAAAAGCATAATAAATGGGACATGACACATTCCAAGGGAAAAGAAAATCGGCAATAGTAACATGTCGATTTAGGCACGGTAAAACAATTCTCAATTTAGATTTTTAAGTGGAAGAGAACAATGTTAAATTTATTGACAGGTGCCACTAACCATTTCTGAAGAAAGGTTGTCCACTGGATTTTTTCTCAGCTAGATATAAAGCAAGCTGAACGTCACCAAGTTCAACAACTCCAGTATTTGCAACCCCATCTAGCAGATTAACTAAAATAGCCAAAAAAAAATAAAACCCATGCTTCCTAAGTGATAGTTTAGGTAAAAATACATCTTATAAATAACTGGATGATGCCATACCAATTCTCTTCCAATTAGGAGAAAATTGTGCACAACGTTTGCTTCCATATGAAATAATCTGAACCACAATAAATAACAGGTTCAAAGAAAAAATGAGCATACTCCAATAATAGAAAAATTTCAGTGAGCGAAAAACACCAAAAAAGGCATCAACGAGTTATATTGTGGAACAATACAGCACAAATGCTTCACGTCAAATATATTTGAAAAATCTATAAAGGACTGCTGATACTACTAAAATTTGAAAGTGATAGTTTCAGATATAAGGCTTTTGACAAATTGGCACTAATAATGAAGACAAGAGAAATAGAGGCATATCCTCAAGACACACATCAAATATAGATTAATAGGCAAGTACTTCAACAGTTCTTGAAAAATCAAGTGATAGTTGAGTCTGTTAGCTGCTTTTAGAGAAAAAAACAAACATAAGCTGTACTCTAAGTATCCAATAATCAAGTATCAACCCAAAGATGGAACAGGATAGGTTGCCTATATTTCGGCAGATGAGGCATACATAAATGATGAATGCCTTCATGCTTGGTTCTCATCATTGGTTATCAAAAGCAATCCTTCGTAAGGTTATATATTATAAAAATCTCAGTAAATTTCAAAATCTACTGAAAATAATCCTTTTCAAAGCTCTCCATGTAAACCGTATGGCTTCAGAGTGTCGATATACACATGGTACAATCTTCATACCATCAAACTTTTACGTGTTTCTACTTACAATAAACAAAGTTAGCCACAAACTTCAATGACAATGAATAATACTTGCTAAGTTTGGTAGTACTACTGAAGAACTAATTCTACGATATTAGCATGTAGGGTTTAGGGAGAACGGATGTCTAAAATGGGTTCATCCGTCTTAAAGATGCACATTGTATGTTGTGTACGTGTCAAGTCATAATTGACACATTGGAAACGAATTGATATCCACGTATACTAGCAGGTTATGTTGACCGTTATCGACTGTACCGGCCCATTTTTGACTCATTTAAACCCATTACCCCGATAAACAATGGGCTATTTACTAAATATTTCCCATTTATTAATTAAAAGGTCATGAGCACTGTACCAACCCAGTAAGAATAAGCCAGTAAATGTGTTAATGGAACAAATAGTGTTGACCTGTTTATTAGCAAGTTGGGTTCGTACCAAGGAACATTGAACCGTTTAGCAAAAGTGTCTTCTTGTTGAGCCAGCCGCAACATGTCTCGCCGTGATACGAGCAGCAAAATTACCACTCCTAATTACTCGCTCAAAATATATATGTGAAGAAACTAATCCAAAATTTCCAATTTAATTAAGTACAGTGTTAGACATTTGTTCATCTTCATAGCTACAGCTTATTATTTCAAGTCATGAGTTTCATTGTAATTTGTAAGGACTAATAAGTATCATCAAGAAATTGATGGAGAATTTCTGAGTTACTATGAGCCAACTAAATGCATAGTATCTGAGGTTCGAGAAGCCTAATATTGTTTATTAAATAACCGCTGTTCTATAAAAATAATCTTGAAAAGTCGACCGTAAAGAGAAAAGAGCCAACTTTCTAATGGAAAAAAATAGTGGTTTCCAGTCTAGAAATCAACTGTACAATGTATGTAAAAGAGTAACGATGTCACATAAAGTAAAACTCAACTATAGCCACAGAAAAAGGAAATGAAACAACGTACAACAGCAACCAGACACACCTGTACTAGTGATGCCTTGTCATCTTCAAACATGGATGAAAAATTCGGGGAGTTGATAACACTGAATGAATCTTCAAGATCTACGGTAATAAACACAGATATCAAATATTATTATTATTAAAAAGATATAAGTGAATACTCATAAAACTATGGTAATGAATGAGAAAGAGTATCTATATCAAGATGAAGGCTGATGCAGCTAGCTCCAACTAGAATTCCAACCAGACCCCCTCCACCAGCAGACACATGGAAGGAACCCTGATCGAATTCAACTTGCTATATTATTTTGAGTGCTGTTTTATTTACTTATTATTCATTAATTAAAATTCTATTAGGACTGTATTGTCTTTCACTTTGAGTAGGGATAGTATTTAAAGTCATTTTTATTTCATAATTAGGGGAACTTTTGTTTTAAGAAAGATTCCACATAAAGAGTTCTCTCCAAAATTCAACCTTGTTTGATGTTTGGTTATCGTGATTGTGGTTTTATCATTCCTGACAGCGCCAGTTGGTATCAAAGCTTTGACTACACTCTTAAAGATGGTTCAAGGATGCCGTGGTATAGGAGGTCGAGGTGCTCGTGGCAGATGATGGTAACAGTAAGACGAATTAGCTATGATTTGTCAGTTCATTGAAGCTCTAGAGTGCAGGTCGGAGATACGTGTGTTACAGAGCTTTGACTACACTCTTGAACATGGTTCAAGGACGCAGTGGTATAGGAGGTTATGGTGCCCGTGGCAGATGATGGTAACTGTAGGACGAATTAGCTTTGATTTGTCAGTCCATTGAAGCTCTAGCGCACAGGAGATTGGAGATACGTGCGTTACAGCAACAGGACTTGAACTGGCAGTTGCAAGACCTGTGTCACGCACGTGGTGTGTGGTGGACATGATGCGCGGCTGCGGTAATCAACGCGGTGACACTACCTGTTGCCATGGCAGTGGCGGTGGGTCCATGCCTGGAATGAATCCGGGCATGGAAGCCTGTCAGATTGGCCATCTGATGAGGATAGGGGTTCGAACAGGAAGCAGTTTGTGCCCTTGGTTGGGGGTGCGAAGGAATGAACATTTCCTGGAACCTAATTGGCACCAGTTGGGAGCAGGCTTCAGAATTGACCTTCCTGAATTTCATGGTGGTACGGATGGAGAAATTGTTGGATTGGCTGAGCGCAACTGAAGAAATCGTGGATTACAAAGAGTTCCTGATGATCCAGATGTTGATGTCCCTGCCGATTCAAGGGTGAATCGTCTCAACCTGGGGTGACTAATGCAGCTAGCCCCAACTCGAATTCCAACCATACCTGCCACCAGCAGACACATGGGAGGAAGCCTGATAGAGTTCAACTTGCTAGTGTTCTATTCTATTTTAGTGCTGTTTTATTTTTCTTATTCGTTAATTACAACTCTCAACCTTGTTTGATGCTTGGTTGTCATGATGGTGGTCCTATCATTCATGACGGCACCAGAGTGGCAACAAATAAAAAAAGGTTATCTAATATAGATTGTCTTCAACAACCAGAGGCAGTAGCTTATATCAACGGAAGGTCAATAACATAAATATTGCCCTGTTATGCTGTGCCTTGACCTTTTCAATCACATGCTGCAAAGTCAAAAAATTGACAGTATATTAGCATACCAGAGGCAGTAGCTTTAATCAATGGAAGGTCAATATCATAAATATGTGCTCCCGTATGTTGTGCCTTGACCTTTTCAATCATATGCTGCAAAGTCAAAAAAATCAACAGTGTATGAACATATGATGAATGATTATGAGAGCCGGATAAGATACAGATTTATCAAAAAAGACCCATAGCAAAAAGGATGAGAGCCAAAAAGCATACAAACTGCTCGTCGATATTGAATATGTCATAATCCCTCTTCCACAGCTTATTCGTAAGAAGCTCAAAAGCATACCGGACCTGCAAAACCAAGTATCCAACCACAATGAATTTGAAATCCAGTAAGAATATAATTCCTCTTACACAAAAACAATCACTCTTAATATTCAACAAGAACAGTGTTTGTTTGTTTTGGGGAGGATTAGGGGAGGAGAGGAAATTACATTTGGTTAACTGGGGGGTAATTTGTTCCCCCATAAGGTTGGGTGGTCTCAAACTGAGGAGTCTCGTACTGTTTAATAAGGCCTTGCTGGGTAAGTAGTTGTGGAGAATTGGAGTGGAGAGGGAGAGTTTTTGGAGAGAAATTATAGGGGCAAAATATGGTGTTATAGAAGGGGGATGGTGCTCAGTTGAGAGTCGTGGTTCTTATGGGGTGAGTTTGTGGCGGTATATATGGCGAGGGTGGAGCGACTTTCATGATAGATTGTCTTCTGTTGTTGGGATTGGCACCACCATCAGTTTTTTGGGATGATTGTTGGTGTGGAGATCAACCGCTTAAGGTGAGATTTCCTTCTTTGTATCGTATTACGCTGGTGCCATCTGCTATGGTGCATGATGTATTAGATGTTCATAATGGGAGCTTCAGTTGAAACATAGCTTTTGGACGGGGTTTGCAGGATTGGGAATTAGATGACTATGCGCTGTTTTTGGCATCTCTGTACGAGGTACATGTTAGAGCAGGAAAGGGCGATTGTAGTAGGTGGAGATTGACACAGGACGGTTGATTTTCTGTTCGCACTTATTTTAGATTATTATTGGGACTTGTGGAAAGTTCATTCCCATGGAAGATGGTTTGGAAATGTAAATTGCCTCCACGAGCAGCATTTTTACTATAGATGGTGGTCAGAGGACAGGTGTTAACGGTGGATAATCTTCGTATTAGAGGTTTGTATGTTACAGAGTGGTGTTGTATGTGCAAGAGGGATGGAGAGACGGTCGATCACTTGTTTCTTCATTGTGATCTCGCTCGTTTATTGTGGAATGATATTTTGGCGTCGCAACACATGGATTGGGTGTTGCCGAGACGTATGGAAGACGTGTTACAGGCATGGAGGAGAAAGTTTCGAGATAAGGATAACAAACTTGTTTGGGACCTTATTCCGATTGTATCGTTTGGAGAGAAAGAAGCAACCCTGCTTTGAAGATTTAACACGGACAACGAAGCAGATTAGGGAGTTGTTTTATTTGACATTGTATAATTGGTTTAATGCAGCAGCTACTAAGCAGATAGATGGTCTGCCTAATTTCATGTTGTTACTTTCTGATTTAAAGCGATAATACACTTCCTGTGTATTATGCATTGATCAATAAAATACTTGATTACCTTTCAAAAAAAAAATATTCAACAAGAACGGTGGTTAAATATTATCTGATGATGTATCTAGAGGTGGACGTGGTTTCATTTGGTTCTGATTCCAACATAATCAAACTGGACCATGAACCAATAGTTTTTGTTTAAGATATGGAACATTTGATTTGGTTCTGATTCCATTACTTAAATTTCCAGCTAATAAATACAAATTAAGTCTATTATATATCCATAAGTTAGTAACATATGCCTAAATGAAAAAATAAACACCAAACATTCAGTAAATTCAACTTCAAATTATCAACATCAATAATGAAACGTTGTGTAATAAAATTCATTAACAAAAGTACAAACTAACAAACATAACATAGTCATAAATTGAATACACAAACATCAAATTCCATCCCCATACAAAATTCTTAAGGTGAGATTTCCTTCTTTGATCGTATTACGCTGGTGCCATCTGCTATGGTGCATGATGTATTAGATGTTCATAATGGGAGCTTCAGTTCGAACATAGCTTTTGGACGGGGTTTGCAGGATTGGGAATTGGATGACTATGCGCTGTTTTTGGCATCTCTATACAAGGTATACGTTAGAGCAGGAAATGGCGATTGTAGTAGGTGGAGATTGACACGGGACGGTTGATTTTCTATTCGCACTTATTTTAGATCAGTATTGGGACTTGTGGAAAGATCATTCCCATGGAAGATGGTTTGGAAATGTAAATTGCCTCCACGAGCGGCATTTTTACTATAGACAGTGGTCGGAGGACGAGTGTTAACGGTGGATAATCTTCGTACTAGAGGTTTGTATGTCACAGAGTGGTGTATGTGCAAGAGGGATGGAGAGACGGTTGATCACTTGTTTCTTCATTGTGATCTCGCTCGTTTATTGTGGAATGATATTTTGGCGTCGCAACACGTGGATTGAGTGTTGCCGAAACGTATGGAAGACGTGTTACACGCATGGAGGAGAAAGTTTCGAGATAAGGATAGCAAACTTGTTTGGGACCTTATTCCGGTTGTATCGTTCGGTGTGTTTGGAGAGAGAAACAACCGCTGCTTTGAAGATTTAACACGGACAACAGAGCAGACTAGAGAGTTGTTTTATTTGACATTATATAATTGGTTTAATGCAGCGGCTACTAAGCAGATAGATGGTATGCCTAATTTCATGTTATTACTTTCTGATTTAAAGCGATAATACACTTCTTGTGTATTATGCATTGATCAATAAAATACTTGATTGCCTTTCAAAAAAAAATATTCAACAAGAACAGTGGTTAAATATTATCTGATCACGTGGTTTCATTTGGTTCTGGTTCCAACATAATCAAACTGGACCATGAACCAATAGTTTTTGTTTTAAGATATGGAACATTTGATTTGGTTCTGATTCCATTACTTAAATTTCTAGCTAATAAATACAAATTAAGTCTATTATATATCCATAAGTTAGTAACATATGCCTAAATAAAAAAAAAAATCAAATTCCATCCCCATACAAAATATTGTCTAGTAACAATAATTCATTAATGTAGACGAATGAGTCACCAAAGTTGAATTTTTTGGTGTGATTCATTGATTTGTAATATATATATATATATATACACACACACCAAAGGGGGGGGTATACAACTGTTAAGGGCAGCAACTGTTTTTTTTCAAAAATTAACTTTAATCCTACTAAGTACTCTCCTTAGTTTTCTATATTTCTTTTAACTTCTTAATAAATCTTTTTTTTTTTTTCTTAAGACATATCAACTTTAACCTAATCCCTTTCTTTAAGGTCATCTGTGGCACTCCCTTAAAGAATTCATAGATTAATTGATTCCCTTTCCCTAGCATCAAGAGAAGTTAAAAAAGGGCACCTTCACCCTAATATTCTCACTTTTCTAGGTCACTCAGACATTAACCTACAAACAGCAAGGCTTCTAAGAATTAAGTTATGCTTAAAATGAAATGAAACATTACGCAACATAATTACATAATTTAAAACACAATAAATCATTACAAAAATCAAAAAAAAAATATGCAGGGATTTATGAAGACATCTTAAAGAAATATAACTAAAGATTTCCCTTTCGGGAAGTCCCTAAAAGATTTCAAATAAAATTTAAAAACTTTTATACCTTCACGAATTTGTACAAATTCTCATTCAGTTATACAATTTTTGGATTGAGAATTTTTCTTTAAGGAAAGGTTTCAAAGGATTGGAAGTAAGGTTTACATAGGTTGTAAGCTCGTGCTTTCTCCAAATGAAAATACTTCCTTATATAGAGAAATTATTGGGAGCAAAATGTCTAAATTATCCCTAATGAGAATATTTCTTTTTACAAAAGTCTATCTGAAATCTTTCAAATCTTTCTTTATGTCAATCTTTGTCTGAGAATCTTCACTGTTTTTCCACTATTTTTGATCTTTGTCAAAAAGTGTTTTATTTTGGAGCGTCGACTGCTTTACTCAAAATCTTCTTTACTAAAAGTAGTTTGTCTTCTTATGTCTGTAGTATTATGTATTTAAATTATATTCTGTAATGGATGAAAATGGCATTCCACAAAGAGAAGATGTTTCACAGGCAAGCAATGACAATGAAGATCCAGAGAACCAAGGCTACAATAATTCGAAATTTTTCAAATCTTTCTTTATGTCAATCTTTGTCTAAGAATTTTCACTGTTTTTCTACTATCTTTGATCTTTGTCAAAAAGTATTTTGTTTTGGAGCGTCGACTGCTTTGCTCAAAATCTTCTTCACTAAAAGTAATCTGTCTTTTTATGTCGATAGAATTATGTATTTAAATTATATTCTGCAACGGGTGAAAATGACATTCCACAAAGAGAGGGTTAATACCCTAAATAGTCACTGAACTTTGTCAAAAGTTCTCATGAGGTCACCGAATTTCAAAACTTCCCTAAATAGTCACTGAACTTTGCAATAAATTCCTAGATGGTCACTGAACTTCAAAACTACCCTAAATAGTCACCGAACTTTGCTAAAACTTCCCAAGAGGTCGCCGAACTTTGCAAATTGGGAGCCCATGCATCAATGGTTCGGTGACCCATTAGGAACTTTTTGCAAAGTTGAGTGACTATCTAGGGGAGTTTTAGCAAAGTTCGGTAACTATTTAGGGTAGTTTTCATCTAGGAACTTATTGCAAAGTTCAGTGACTATTTACGGAAGTTTTGAAGTTCGGTGACCTCCTAGGAAGTTTTGGCAAAGTTCGGTGACTATTTAGGGTATTAACCCACAAAGAGGATGTTTCACACGCAAGCAATGACAATGAAGATCCAGAGAACCAAGGCTACAATAATTCAGATAGTGGAATGTCATTTTCATCAGTTGCAGAACATAATTTGAATACATAATTCTACCGACATAAGAAGACAAACTACTTTTAGTAAAGAAAATTTTAAGTAAAGCAGTCGACGCTCCAAAACAAAATACTTTTTGACAAAGATCAAAGATAGTGCAAAAACGGTGAAGGTTCTCAAACAAAGATTGACATAAAGAAAGATCTGAAAGATTTCGGATAGACTTGTGTAAAAAGAAATATTCTCATTAGGGATAATTTGGACATTTTGCTCACAAGAATTTCTCCATATAAGGAAGTATTTTCATTTGTAGAAAGCATGAGCTTACAACCTGTGTAAACCTTGTTTTCAATCCTTTGAAAATTTTCCTTAAAGAAAAAATTCTCAATCCAAAAGCT